TCTCTTCTGTCTCCCTCATTTGGTCTCTCTCTCGTCACCTTCTCTCCCTCACTCACCCTCTCTGGGGGACACGTGACGGTGACGGGGGCGAATGTTTCATTCCTTCTCGTCTTTCTCTCCAGAACCTTCTAACCCGATTCCACCGACTGCGGCTCATTCATCTGCCGCTTTGTTCGGTCTCCGTCTGCCATTCGATGAGCGTGAAGCACATTTGCAAACGAGTGGATTGCGAGTCACGCTTGATTGATGAAGCTCTTAATTTATGGAAAACACAGCAATTATTTTTTGCAGTGCTGTTGTACTCGTCTAAAACTATTTAAGAACTTATATGTGGCCACCAGCAGTTTGTGAATGTTGCGATCGGTCGGATCCGTGTCCGATCTGGACTCCTCACCCTTTGTTGGACCATCACTTGGTTTTTGTTGTTTCTGTGGACGATACTTGATGTGATCGTCTCTATGATCAGTAGTCTGACCGAGCAATTGATACAGGACTCTATGGTCATAGTCAAGAAAAAAAGAACTAAAAATGTGCTAGATCAATTATGTGTTTTATTTATTGTATTGGTAATATTGACCAATCACCTTTGAGTCAGAAGGCATTGACTGAAATGGAACCATTGGAACCCGCCTGCTTGTCACCTGATGATCCAGCTGTTACCTGTTTAGAAAGTTACCTTGTTAGCTTAACCCTTCGACGGGCCGCCTCTAAGCCCCGCCCCCAGGATGCCGATTGGCCCGTGCCTCGGCTTACAGGACAAGGAGTCACTTCTTGAACTTTGACAAGATAGACTCCACGTGCTCTTGTGACAGGTGACATTTGCTTCAGGTTCCACTTCCTCCACGTCTCCGTGAGCCGTTAAACTCCATCTCCTGCCGCAGGTGGAACCTCTCACCTCCGCCTTCCCCGCCGATTCACACTGTCCCATCTCCTCCTCTCAGCATAATTGGTGTCGCAAAGTACCATCCGGCTGGGTTCTCCGCTTCCCTTCTGTGTACTGCGTCTCGCTACGGAGCAGAGGTGCAGGAAGCCGAGCTCGCTCCAGTTCTGCCCTCGATCAAAGTCAGAATGTGAGGGGAAAAAGTCTGGAATGAAGCTCTGACTTGCTGCTGAGTGACACCTTCTCAATGGGCTGACGCATGCTGCTCCAACCAGAGATTAAAATGGTGGTTTAATTCCTCTCGTTGTCTGGCTCAGCGTGACTGAACTGTTTCAGTAGTGATCAAACCCCAGCCACGCAGAACGCTGTGAGTTAGATTCCCCTGCAAAGCTGGATTTCCTGCAAGCTTGACGAAGAGTCATTCCAGAGTTAAGTTGAATCCCAAGAACAGCGTGTCAGACCCTCAGGCGTGAGAACCCGGTCTAAATCAGCTGCAGTAAAACGACCTCCAACAACGAGAGAGAGGAGACAGATGCCAACAGCTGGGAGCCACTGAGGGGACGACTTTGAGGCCCCCGAGAGGTGAAACGCCTCCTCAGCGTCGAGGCCCAGGAACGAGTCCTGATCACCAGAGGAGGTAAACGGCGAGGAGAGCGTCTCCATCGCGAGTCCATCAGACTCAGCAGTCTCCTGAGAGCGAGGACCCGTCCACCTCGGACCCCCTGGGGATTCTTTTGAGATCTTTAAACCTCTTGGATCCTGATTATGTGAATTACGAAAAAATGGATATCAGAGCATCCTGAGTACAACCAACATCAGCAGCGGCAGATTAGCATTTCTCCTTTGATTAAACCCTTGTGAACTATTTTGGGCTTCAAGCTTCCCGGT